TCTGGGCTCATTGTAACCTCTGCCTCCTGGGTTCAAGCGATTATCCTGTCTCAGCCTCCTGAGTAGCTGGGATTACAGGCGCCTGCCACCATGCTCAGCTTATTTTTGTATTCTTGATAGAGATGGGGTTTCACCATGTTGGCCAGACTGGTCTTGAACTCCTGACCTCAGGTGATCTGCCCACATCGGCCTCCCAAAGTGCTGAGACTACAGGGATAAGCCACCTCTCTCAGCCTCGCTAAGCAATCTTCTATTTGTCTTTCATGGAACTGGTTATTTACTTGGTTGGAAAATACATACTGAGTGCCAAACATGTGCCAGGCACTGGAGAGAGAATGGAGAACAAGCCAGACCCTGACCACAAGCCCCTGACTTTGTGGATCACAGTCAACAAACAAACAAGGGACCCAAAATATTTGATTGCAAATTGTAATGAGTGATATCACAGAAACAAACAGGGTGTGGGTCCATGACAGGATGGTCAGGGAAGGCCTCCAGGAGGAGGTAACATCAGAGCAGAAGCCTGAAGGTTGGAAGGAAGCAGCCGCTTGAAAAGTGTGGAGGAAAAACAGCAAGTGCAAAGGCCCTGAGGTGGGAATGAGATTGGACATTGAGCCAGCTTCGAGAATTGCCATGTGGCTAGAGCAGTATGTAAGGGGGTGCAGCAGATGTTGAGATGAGGGAGGTGACAGGGGTCATATCATACAAGGCCTTCTGCAGGGATGTAGGGAGGAGTTTGGATTTTTTTTTTTTTGGACAAAGTCTTGCACTGTCACTCAGGTTGTAGTGCAGTGGTGCCATCTTGGCTCACTACAATCTCCACCTCCCGGGTTCAAGCAATTCTCCTGCCTCAACCTCCTGAGTAGCTGGGACTACAGGCATATGCCACCATGCCCAGCTAATTTTTTTGTATTTTTAGTAGAGATGGGGTTTCACCATGTTGGCCAGGATGGTCTGAATCTCCTGACCTCATGATCCACCCACCTTGGCCTCCCAAAGTGCTGGGATTACAGGCGTGAGCCACCAAGCCTAGCCCTTTTTTTTCTTTTTTTTTTTGAAACAGTTTTGCTCTTGTTGCCCAGGCTGGAGTGTAATGTCTCAGTCTCAGTTCACTGCAACCTCTACCTCCCAGGTTCAAGTGATTCTCCTGCCTCAACCACCTGAGTGGCTGGGATTACAGCCATGCATGCTTGGCTAATTTTGTAGTGTTAGTAGAGATGGGGGTTTCACCATGTTGGCCAGGCTGGTCTTGAACTCCTGACCTCTGGTGATGCGCCCACATCGGCCTCCCAAAGTGCTAGGATTACAGGTGTGAGCCACCGTGCCCGCCTTGGATTTTATTCTGAATGCCTTCTCTTATTTTCCCAGAAGGTAACATAATATTTATCCATAAAGTGACATTGTGGACCTCCTGGAAAAGTCTGGGCCAGGGTTTTAGTTTATTTATTTATTTTAGAGATCGGGTCTCACTATGTTTCCCAGGCTGGTCTTGAACTCCTGGATTTAAGTGATCCTTCGGCCTCAACTTCCCAAAGTGCTGGGATTACAGGTGTAAGCCATCACAGCTGGCCATGGCCAGGATTAAAGGGAGAATGATGTATATCGAATTCCTATGTGCCCTTCAATACCCTGTTCCAGTTACCCTTTTGTAGGGTCTTGATGATTTAGTCAAAACCGATGTCCCCTGGCCCTGATACACTATCTGCCTCCATTGTGATCACAAAGACCGGGAGTATCTGTGCCCCTATGATTGGGAGTGGAGGGGGTATTGGTGAGTAATCAGTGAGTCATATCATGTAACTATTTCTTTGGCTTCAACAGGGCTTTGAAGCAGAAGATCTGGCCTGGCATCCCAAGCCCAGAGAGCGAGTTTGAAGGCCTCTTTACCACCCACAAGGGTAATTTCCAGGTAGGTGGCCTGGCTGTCCCCTCAGTGCCTGGGCTTCCCTGCTTCTTGCAGCCAAACTGCAGGCCTCTCTGAGCAGGCTGGTGCTATTTCTTCAGCTGTGGCTGTACCAGAATGATGGCTGTCTGTGGTGGAGCCCCTGCACCCCCTTCACAGAGGACCCACCTGTCTCCCTGGAAGTCCTCTCTGAGCGCTGCTGGGGGACCATGCAGCCAGTGGAGCCAGGGACAGATGATGAGGGTCCACAGCTGGAGCCGGTGGGCAGTGAGCATGCCCAGGATACCTATCTGGTGCTGGACAAGTGGTTGCTGCCCCAGAGTCCTCCCAGTGAGGACCTCCCACGGCCTGATAGCAGTATGGATATAGTGGCCATGGATGAAAACTCAGAAGCATCCTCCTGCACATCTGCTTTAGCCTTGAAGCCCAGCCCAGAGGGAGCTTCTGCTGCCAGCTTTGAGTACACCATCCTGGACCCCAGCTCCCAGCTCTTGCGTCCATGGGAACTGTGCCTTGAGCTGCCCCCTACCCCACCCCACCTAAAGTACCTCTACCTTGTGGTATCTGATTCTGGCATCTCAACTGACTACAGCTCAGGGGACTCCCAGGGAGCTCAAGGGGGCTCATCCGAGGGCCCCTCCTCCAACCCTTATGAGAACAGCCTCATCCCAGCCTCTGAGCCTCTGCCCCCCAGCTATGTGACTTGCTCTTAGGACACCAGCCTGCAGATGATCGGGGATCCACTATGATCCAGAGAGCCAGTGCAGACTCAAGACTTACTGAACAGGGATAGCAAGGCCTCTCTTAAGAGTAGGGGCATTGCTGATTTTGTCTGCCCAACCCATCCTGCTCAGGAAATCACAACCTTGCAGTATTTTCATTGTATTTTATTTTTTTGATACAGAGTCTTACTCTGTCTCCCAGGCTGGAGTGCAGTGGCGAAATCTCAGCTCACTACTACCTCTGACTCCCGGGTCAAGTGATTCTCCTGTGTCAGCCTCTCGAGCTGGGATTACAGGTGCCTGCTACCATGCCCGACTAATTTTTTTTTTATTTTTTATTTTTTTTGAGACGGAGTTTTGCTCTTGTTACCCAGGCTGGAGTGCAATGGCGCGATCTCGGCTCACCGCAACCTCCGCCTCCTGGGTTCAGGCAATTCTCCTGACTCAGCCTCCTGAGTAGCTGGGATTACAGGCACGCGCCACCATGCCCAGCTGATTTTTTGTATTTTTAGTAGTAGAGACGGGGTTTCACCATGTTGACCAGGATGGTCTCGATCTCTTGACCTCGTGATCCACCCGCCTCGGCCTCCCAAAGTGCTGGGATTACAGGCTTGAGCCACCGCGCCCGGCTTAATTTTTTTATTTTTAATAGAGATGAGGTTTCGCCATCTTGGCCAGGCTGGTCTTGAACTCCTTACCTTGGGATCAACCCGCCTCGGCCTACCAAAGTGCTGGGATTACAGGTATAAGCCACTGTGCCCAGCTGCAGTATTTTTAAATATGTATAGTTTTTTTTAAAAAAAAAAATCTATCTATCTATCTATCTATACATATGTATGTAAGTTTTTCTACCATGATTTCTACAAATACCCTGTACACCCCATTTCCCCTGGGCATAGGCCATAGGGGTAGAAGTTAAAGTTCTTGAGCTTATTCTGAAGTTCTGGATCTGCAAACTGAATACTAATCATAAAGTTAATAAAACAGTATGTTAAACAGCTCCTAAATCTTAGTGGCTTACCACATTAAGTGATTTCTCTCTCCTAACTCAGCTCAAATTGGCAGCCATCCATGGGATGGGTCAGAGGTTCAGACTCTTCTGGTCTGTGGCTCTACCTTCTCTTAGGGTATTTAGATGGATACCCTATTCTACATCCTGACAGTCAGCAAGGGAAGAGAAAGGGCAGCAATTACCCTCCATGGGCCATTTAAGGGATCTGGCCTGAAAATGGTCTTCCTCTTCTCCCACCTCATTGGCTGGAAACAGTCACACGACCACAATCACATGAAAGGCTGGGAAATGTAGTTTAGTTTTACACCCAGGAAGAGCAAAGCTGTTTAAGGGGCCTCTAGCTAGTCTCTGCCACTAATAATAATAACAATAATTCTGAATCAGGCCATGTACTCTGATGACACTTGGTGTCAACAAGTAACTCAATGGGAGTTTTGGTTTAATTTTTTTTTTTCTTCTGAGACAGGGTCTCTCTCTGTTGCATAGGCTGAAGCCCAGTGGTTCAAGCATGGTTCACTGCATCCTCGACTTCTTGGGCTTAGGCGATCCTTCTGCCACAGCTTTTCAAGTAGCTAGGACTACTGGCATGTACCACTAAGCCTGGCTGATTTTTTTTTAGACGGAATCTCGTCTGTGTCACCCAGGCTGGAATGCAGTGGCTCAGTCTCGGCTCACTGCAACCTCTACTTCCCAGGTTCAAGCAATTCTCTTGTCTCAGCCTCCAGAGTAGCTGGGATTACAGGCAGCTGCCACCATGTATGGCTAATTTTTGTATTTTTAGTAGAGACAGGGGTTCATCATGTTGGCCATGCTGGTCTCAAACTCCTGACCTCAGGTGATCCGCCTGCCATGGCCTCCCATAGTGCTGGGATTACAGGCGTGATTACAGGCACCTGGCTGATTTATTTTTAGACGGAGTCTCACTTTGTCGCCCAGGCTGGAGTGCAGTGGCATGATCTCAGCTCACTGCAACCTCTGGCTCCCAGGTTGAAGCAATTCTCCTGCCCCAGCCTCCCGAGTAGCTGGGACTACAGGCGCGCACCAACACACCCAGCTAATTTGCTGTATTTTTAGTAGAGGTGGGTTTCGCCATGTTGGCCAGGCTGGTCTTGAGCTCTTGACCTCAGGTAATCTGCCTACCTCCGCCTCCCAAAGTGCTGGGATTACAGGTGTGAGCCACCGCACCCGGCTGATTTTTAAATTTTTTATAGAGATGAGGCCTCACCATGTTTGTCTCAAACTCATGGGTTCAAATGATTCTCCTGCCTCGGCCTCCTAAAATGCTGGGATTACAGGCATGAGCCACCGCACCCAGCCTGAAACTCTTTTTATAAAGTTTAAAGTAACAAAACTAAACAATATATTGATTGGGTGCAATACGTAAAAGATAGTGCTATATTTTTAAAAGAGAAAAAGCATTTTACATTCTTTAGGTCTTTGGATCTGCACATGGCCATGGGAAACTGAAGCATAGAAACGTGGTCACCCACCAAAGCTTAGAGCTGGCCTGCAGAGCTTGAACCCTTGCCTGAGCTGGGGTCACCAGTCTGGGTGGGCCACGGAGCAATCATCATTTCTCCATCTGATCGGAAAGTCACCCACCACTCTGTTCTGGGGCCCAGTCCCCCTGGCTCCAGGCAGGCTCGGAGGCCATGCTCTCCTGGACCTGGTGCATCTGGCTGCAACCAGCACTGAGCAGGAAAATACCGCCGGAGCAGTGACAGGTGCAGGATGTCCCCACTATCTGCCTCCTCCTGGGTCTGGAGGGCCACCATGAGCCCACAGTCCCGCCCAAGCCGGTGGCTGAAGTGGGCAGCTGTGTCTAGAAGTAAGGCAGTGAGGTAGGCGGCTTTCTGGGGCTCCGGGTCTTCTGCTAGGTACTCTTCTAGTCCATCTAGTAGCAGAAGGGAGGGGGCTGGCCCCGGGGCCTCATGGGCAGAGCACAGAAGCCAGAAAAGCTCTCGGGTTGAGGGTGGGTACTGGAAGCGGATCTTCTAGAAGGAGAAACAGAAGGGCCAGATTCAGCACAGGAAGCCAGACTCCCCGCAAGACTAACCCTGTCTCCTCACATGCTTTTCCTTGCCTCCAGGATGAACCCGTTCAGAGCGGTTAAATATTCTTGCATTCGTCCCTTTTTCCAGCATTCATCACTGCCGAGTATTAACTGAGGGCAAGACAATTTTGTTTGGTTTTGGCCAAATCTCTAGGGCAGTTTTTCCATGGAAAACCGCCTCCCAGCATACTCGGTCCGAGCCCATCCTTGATCCCAGCAGTAACCAACTCTGGTACAGAATGAACCCAGGCTTAGCTCCGCCCCTCAATCTAAAGCTCCCCATGGTCCCACCTCCCTTACGCACGCCTGACTCCGCCCCACCATGGCTGCCCCCGGCTCGCCTTTCCACGGTCCCCTCCATTGGCTTGTCTACCTGTCACTAAACGTCCCGGATCGACTCTACCATTGGCTAGAACGCCTCTGCTCCCACCCCCACGGTTACTTGGAGTCGCATTGGGTCCAGAGCCGTTCCGGTCCCGCGAGGTAGGCTTTGAAAAGGTCTCCGTGTCAGGAAGAGGACTGGGCCTTGGCCCTCCCCCGCCGCCTCTAGGGCCGCAGCAAATAGCAGCGTTGTTTTTCCAGATCCTGGTGCGCCGAGCAGCAGCAAAGGTGGGCCGGCGGCAGGCGTGTTCTCCTCCCTGGACCAGGCCGCGCCGCCCCTGCTTAGCACCCGCTTCAGCGTCTCCGCCATTCGCCGCGTACTCTGTCCAATTGATGGCGTGTTCCCAGCCTTAGTCCCGCCCAAGCCGAGGCCGCGTCGGTTATAGTTCACTTCGTTTCTCTATTGGTCTAGGAGTCTGTCCATCAAAACTTGATTGACCTTGGCTAGCTCCGCCCCGGGTGAATGGGCAAATGGTTAGAACCTAGTGCTGAGGAATGGGTGCTTTCGAGGGAAATATGACCCTTCCCTGCGGGAGGCTGCTAGGGAAAGCAGCACGAACACTATTATTTTCAGCTAATCAGACAAATATAAGGGTTGAGGGTTGGAGGAGTAGACCGTAATGATTGACATATTAAAGTCTCCTAGCCTCAGTTTGCTCTCCTGTAAAATAGGGCTTAGGATATCTCAGAGGAATATTGTGATTGGCAGGTATCTGTGTGTGGTTTTGCTGATGCCATCCAATGACAGCTGAGTTGGAGAGGGGAATGAGCTGTGTGCTCGTCTTTCTGTGCAGCTGAGTATGGGCAGGAGTGTGTGTCTGGGGACACGGGCTCAGGGACACTCGTGTGCAAAACAGCAGCAGCCATCCCTGAAAGTCTGTGAAATGAGGACTCTCAACTTACTTCCTCCCTGGCTAAGGGGTTTTGTGGGGCCTTCCTTGTGGTACGGGGGGAAGGCAGGACCGCCGGCCAAAGAAGAGGGCAGGAGAGACAAAAAGACAGGAGCTGGAAGACTGAGGGAGAGATACATACAGCAGGGACATTGTTGGTCTTGTTCACTTCTGTCTCTCCAGTAACCAGAATAGCACCTAGCACATTTGTAGGTTCTCAAATACATTGTCGTTAAATCAATGAAGAAAGGGAGGTGGGATTGATGAGAAACAGGAGAAAGGGAGGAACAAAGTGAATGATCGTGATCCCTGGCTGGATCTTCTCACCCAGACTTTGCCCCAGGGCTGCCACTCACGCCTGTGTTGCCCTGGCAACCTTGTCTCCTGGTAACTTCAAAGTGGTGCTGTTGCCTGGAGACCCAGGGGCAGGGAGAAAGTGAGATTTCCTGGGCTTTCTCTCTCCCTCTGGGACCAGAAAACAGCTCCACGACATCCCCCAACACACCCACTCACACAGCTGGGCACCCTCACACCCCTCTACACACACACACACACACACACACACACACACACACACCATGGCATCTCTGAATAGATTCTACTTTCAGAATCCCCATCACTCACATGCTCCAACCTTGCCCTATCCTGACACAAAGCATCCCATACAAACTATCATACATTCATCCCCCACACCCTTTCTCCTGCTCACACACACAACTATGCCATTGCCACTAACACACACACACACACACACACACATACACAGTGAGGCACGCAGTGCGCTGTCAAACACACCACCTCAGCCCCCAGATATACAACCCATGAATCACCTCACATTGCAACACTCCAAATGCACAAACAGGCCGGGTATGGTGGCTCATGTCTGTAATCCCAATGCTTTGAGAGGCCAAGGCAGGAGGATTGCTTGAGACCAAGAGTTCAAGACCAGCCTGGGCAATGAAGTGAGACCCCATCTCTACAAAAGACTTAAAAATTAGCCAGGTGTGGTGTCATGCACCTATAGTCCCAGCTACTCGGGAAACTGAGGTGGGAGGATTGCTTGAGCCCAAGGAAGTCAAAGCTGCCATGAGCCATGATTGCGCCACTGCACTCCAGCCTGGGTAACAGAGCAAAACCCTATCTCAACAGGAGCTCAAGACCAGCCTGGGCAAGATGGTGACACCCCATCTCTACTAAAAATACAAAAATTAGCCAGATGTGGAAGTGGGTGCCTGTAATCCTGGCTACTCGGGAGGCTGAGGCAGGAGAATCGCTTGAACCCAGGAGGCGGAGGTTGCAGTGAGCCGAGATTGTGCCACTGCACTCCAGCTTGGCAACAGAGCGAGGCTCCATCTCAGAAAAAAACAAAACAAACAACAACAACAACAAATGCACAAATACTCAGTAGTGACACCCACATCACAGAGTCCGGCACAGTTACACACATGGGAGCATGCTGAACATTGCCTCACTGCAAGTCCTTCGCACTTGAAGTTCTGGTGTGCATAGCAGTTAGCTTCCAGATATCCCTCTGGCTCTATTTTTCCCCCCACTCTATTTAGGTCTTTGGTCAAATTATCACCTACTCAGGATTTCCCTGTCCACCTGCCCCAATTTGTCCACATTTCACTCTTTAACTGATTATCTGTTTTTGCCGTTGCTGTTGTGTGGTTTTGTTTTTTTGAGACAGAGTCTCACTGTTCTGCCCAGGCTGGAGTGCAGCAGCGCAGTCTTGGCTCACTGCAACCTCTGCCTCCCAGGTTCAAGTGATTCTCCTGTCTCAGCCTCCTGAGTAGCTGGGATTACAGGCACATGCCATCATGCCCAGCTAATTTTATTTTGTATTTTTTTTTTTTTTGAGACGGAGTTTCACTCATGTTACCCAGGCTGGAGTGCAATGGCGCGATCTCGGCTCACCGCAACCTCCGCCTCCTGGGTTCAGGCAATTCTCCTGCCTCAGCCTCCTGAGTAGCTGGGATTACAGGCACGCACCACCATGCCCAGCTAATTTTTTGTATTTTTAGTAGAGACGGGGTTTCACCATGTTGACCAGGATGGTCTCGATCTCTTGACCTCGTGATCCACCCGCCTCGGCCTCCCGAAGTGCTGGGATTACAGGCTTGAGCCACCGCGCCCGGCCTATTTTGTATTTTTAATAGAGATGGGGCTTCACCATGCTGACAGGCTGGTCTTGAACTCCTGACTTCAGGTGATCCTCCTGCCTTGGCCTCCCTAAATGCTTGGATTACAGGTGTGAGCCACCACGCCCAGCCTAAACGTTTTATATTTTAGAGACGGGGTTCTTGCTACATTGCCCAGGCTGATCTTAAACTCCTGGGTTGAAGCAATCCTCCTACCTTGACCTCCCATAGTGTTGGGATTACAGGTGTGAGCCACAGCGCCCTGCCGAGAAGCCTTTCTTTTCTTTGTTTGAGACAGAGTTTTGCTCTTGTTGCCCATGTTGGAGTGCAATGTTGTGAGCTCAGCTCACTGCAACCTCTGCCACCTGGTTCAAGCGATTCTCCTGCCTCAGTCTCCTGAGTAGCTGGGATTATAGGCATGTGCCATCACGTCCGGCTAATTTTTTGTATTTTTAGTAGGAACGGGGTTTTACCAGATTAGCCAGGCTGGTCTCGAACCCCTGACCTCAGGTGATCCGCCCAGCTTGGCCTCCCAGAGTGCTAGGATTACAGGCGTGAGCCACCGCGCCCGGCCGAGAAGTCTTTCGAATGAGCAAGTACAAGCCAGCCTGTGCTGTCTACCCAAGATTGTCTGTATCACCATGGGAGTCGGTGCAAGGCCAGGACTGCTGTCACCACCCTCCTGAGCGGGACTGATTCTTCCCCCGCCTTTCCTATTCTTGGCCTGCCCTCCGCATCAGCTGCGCGGACAGGGCCCGCTGGTTCGGGTGGTGGCGCTGTCCATTGTGCTGAAGCTTTGCTTTCTTCCACTGCTCGCAGTGGAGGCAGCTTTTGTGTCAGGAGAGACCACGAGTCTCACGTGTATGAGCTCTGGAAACAGGCGCCTTGGTCGGTCAATCAGGGGGCCCCATGGTGCTGTCTTTCCTCTGCCATTAGCTCTCTGATGCTCTTATCTCATCCCCCAGTGGCCCACGATCAGCTCCACCATCTCCCCAACCTCCCCACCATCTCCCCGACCTCTCCTGTCTCCTCTTCACTCACCTTGTTTCCAGATACTACCCAGGCCACTTTGCTGTTCCCTGAACACAGAAAGCACGTTCCAACCTCAAGGCCTTCGAACTTGCTCTCCCCTTTGCCTGGAAGACTCCCCACCTGACCTCCACCACATATTTGCATGGCTGCTTCCCTCGCTCCGCTCCGAGTGTCATCTCAGAGAGAACTTTGATCACTTTCTTTAAATTGCAAACCATAGCCCATGCTTGGTGGCTCACGCCTGTAATCCCAGCATTTTGGGAGGCCAAAGTGGGAGGATTGCTTGAGCCCAGAAGTTCAAGACCAGCCTGGGGAACATAGCAAGATACTGTCTCTACTAACATTTTTTTTTAAAACTAGCAGGCATGGTGGTGTGTGCCTGTAGTCCCAGCTGCTTGGGAGGATCGCTGGACTGTTGGATCACAGACGTTTAAGGCTGCAGTGAGCTATGATTGTGCTGCTGCGCTCCACCGTTGCTCAGCCTGAGCAACAGAGCGAGACTCTCCCTATCTCTTAAAAAAAATTGCAAACCATGTCCCTATCCCTCAGTTGTCACATTGCCTTCCTTAGCTTGAGTTTTCTCCTTATCACATATCAATATCTAACATATCAGTGATCCCTTACCTAAATCTATGATCCTGGAGTTTGAAATTCATAATTTTTCAGATTTTACAAAAGTAATATGGTGTAAATACTATGTGTTTCATATCCCTAGTGGGACCAAGAGTAACATTCCCAAATCACTGTATCTTCAGCAAAACACAAGAATATTCACATCAAATGAAATAAATAAAAACTGTACATAATCTCAGGTCAGTTCAGTTTCGGTTTTGCCATAAATGAGTCGTGAAAATATTTTGGTTTTCAGACTTTATTTTGAGTTGGAGTCTCACTCTGTCACCCAGGCTGGAGTGCAGTGGCGTGATCTCAGCTCACTGCAACCTCCAGCTCCTGGGTTCAAGCGATCCTCCTGCCTCAGCCTCCCGAGTACCTGGGATTACAGATGTGCGTCACCACGCCTAGCTAATTTTTGTATTTTCAGTAGAGATGGGGTTTCACCAAGTTGGCTAGGCTGGTCTTGAACTCCTGACCTGAGGTGATCCACCCACCTTGGCCTCCCAAAGTGTTGGGATTACCGGCGTGAGCCACCTCACCCAGACTGGTTTTCAGACTTCTATAAAAATTTGGAATTGTGAATCTGTATATAGTTCATTTATTTTTATATTTATTTACTTAGAGACAGGGTCTCACTCTGTCTCCCAGACTACAGTGCAGTG